AAGCGCGGAGCCCATGGTGTGAGACGTCGCGACTACAAGAGCTTCCCGAGTCCTTAGCGCTTTCGTACATTACTCTCCTCAGTGTCCCCAGCCAAGCCACTGGTCTACTACTACTCCATTTTAGAAGGGGAAACGGAAGCTGGGTCTTGGTCAAGGTCTCCAGACTTGTAAAAGGAGCGCGTTTGGAACCCAGCAACCCGAACACTTACTGTTTCTGCAGGGCTGCCCTGACCCCTACATACTGTTAACAGATTGGGACATTCATGTGACCCAGGACCCATCTCCAGCCATCACTGGGACCTGGGATTAAAAGGTCGCTGTTGTAACTTTAATGTCTAGGCATTAGGGGTGGCAACTAGGGAACAGGCCTTTATAAAAGCCCTCATCATGACCTGGGGCCTATATCCTGGCTGCTGGCTGGAGTGTAGCTGTGGCCCCCGGGTGATCCAAAACAGTCTGTTGTTCTTCTCCTATCTGGGAAGGTATTTACTGGAGCCACAGCGGATGGAGCCCGAGGACATAGTACCCTTTACCTAGTGTGGACCAGGTGCTGACCTGAGGGGCGGAGTGGAAGATAATGGGTAGCCCAGTCTCAAATGTTCCCTCAGCCCAGGGGCATGCAGCTCTGGAGGGACTTCTCTGAGGAGCCCCAAAGCAATTTCCACGGAGGCAGCCTTATGACCTCTTGGGACAGGGGAAAAAAACCACAGCCAGTCTCACTGGCAGCTCAATGCTGGGGACAGAGCAGGAACTCAATCTGTATTTATCAAGCAAATCTTAGGTCTGCACCCAGGCTGCCCCACCCAGGACTGTTTCCAGCTTCAGAGAACTGTTTTTTGTGTTTTTTTTGGTACCGGGGATCGAACTCAGGTCCTTGAGCTTGGCAGCAGGCGCCAGAACCACCGAGCTAAATCCCCGGCCCCAGAAAACTGTTTTGAGGAGGAATGGTGAGCAGATGGTGGGGACCTTAGGGCTCTACTCTGATTGCTCTACTCAAAGGCTATCATCACTCTGGCTCTGGAACTGTGGCCCTTTGACCTGCCATAGGCCTTTGCCTGTCCAGCCGAAGTAAACAGCACGCTGTCCCCTAACCTAGTCTCCTATTCATGTAGAGAAGAGGATGCCATCTCCAGCTGATCAAGACCTGGCATTAAAAGGCCTGCCCTCCTCCCTCCACTCCTGACACAAAGCAGTCACCACTGCTGAAACTCTTTCCTGCTTCTCCAACACTGCTTGTGTCCTGGACCAAGATAGCCGCCTCCTAACTGGCCTCCCTGCCTTCCTCCTCCAATCCACTTTCTCAGAGTAGCCTGTTATTTAGAAATGCATATCCGATAATTAACATCTCATGTTAACGGAGTGAAGGTTTATACATCACCTGCTTTGTGCCAGGCCTGTGCTTCACATCACTTCTTGTCGTGCCTCTCCTGCAAGCCACACTGTTCTCAGTTTGCCCTGCTGTTCCTGCACTCCTGTGTGACTGCACGGGTAACCCTGTCCAGTCCCTTCTCACCTCTGCCTCCCCTACCACCACACACAGCCAGGAGGAGCTGCTTTCACCCTGGCAAAGGACACAGCCCACTCTGTATCACATCAAGCACAAATCATCTGTTTCCTTGTCAGTCTCTCCCTAGAGACTGTTCCCAACCCAGGCACACAACTAGGTACATCGTGCGGACTCAATAACTCCCTCGTGGGCGCCTGCATGAATGAATGAACTCAGAGCCCAGGAGTGTGAGAGGGAGGCTGGAGCATGCTTAAGTTGAATAAAGCCGTGGGCCAGCCATTCATTCTTTCATTCATATCTGAACCCCCAGCCGCCAAGCTCTGGGAGCCGATGCACGCGGGGGCACTGGCTCGGCGGAGGACGGGAAGGGGCGGGGCGCGGGAGGCTCATCCGGAACCTAAGGGGCAGAGGAGGGTGCGGAAGGGGCCCGAAAGGCGAGCTGGGTTCCTGGGTCCCACGACCCGCTCTTCCTTGCCCTCACCTTACCCGCAAGTAATCTAGGTCCCCACCAGCCAGGCCCAGGGGATCTTCAGTCCCGGCGACACCCGGGCTGAGACCCGCGCCCCCTACCGTAGCCGGCTCGGCGCCCTCCCGCCCGCGGTTTCTCCTACCCTGCTCGCCAGCGGAGGTCTCCCGGGCCATGCGGCCGCTTTCCGCCCCACACCCTGCCTTACCTACCCACCGGCTTGGCTCTTCGGGTGCGCAGGCGGGAGCCGGGCTGGGCGGCGTGGCCACTTCGGGAGTCCGCGGCCCCGGCACGGTCTCCCCGCCTAGGGCCCGGTAGGGGCCGGGCCGCGGCCTGTCGTCATCCCGGGCAGGGCCCAGACTTAGGCGCGCGCGCGGGCTCGGGCCCCGCCCCGCCCCACCGGCCCTGATTCGGGCCGGGCCGAGTCTGCCGAGGCTCGAGGCCGTACTTCTCAGCCAGCTCACTGGACTAGGCGCATCGCAGATGAGCGCGCGCGCACACACACAGACGTCCTTCTCTGGCCAAAGACCCGACCCACTCTGCAGTGCTGGGTGGGTTCATCAGATGGGATTCTACCCCTTCATGCTGGGACCTTCTGCATGCCCCCTCCTTCAGCAAACCAGCCCTTTCCCTTGCGCTCTAGGCCAGGGCAGTTCTTCCCCATTTCTAAATACCACTCCGCTTTCACCCACTTCCCCTGCCCTTGCTACTTGCTCTGAGACGGTCAGTCCCAGTTCCGGGGACCGGCCAAGAAAGGGGAGGCATTAACTGTACTGGGTGCCAGGACATCAAGGCAGCCCGGTCTGGCACCTGCTCTATGCTCAGCTCATAGCCCAGCTCACTAAAGTTCAGGGACCTGGAGGGAAGATTCAAAACCGCATCTCCGCTTTGAAAAATCCTGCCTCTAGTGGCTTTGACTCCTTTACGCTTTCCTTCCACCTATTCCTTGCCATTTGGTTTTGGCACCCACCAAGGATCAGAAAGCATCCTACTCTTCACCTCTTTCTAGAGGGCTTTTTCCAGGGTCCCCTGGACCCTGAGGAAACATCGCCACCCTTCCTCCCAACCCAGTGGATCCCGGCTTACAAGCTTGCATGGCCTGTGGGGGTGAACCACGCGGATGATCTCCCCGGTGGGTATCAGCTCCACTTGCAGCGCCATTCTGCCAGTGGAGAGCCAGCTTGTGGAGCGGTCAACACTGGGGCCTCTGAGCAAAAGCTGCCTGTTGCCTACTGACTGGCCGCTCCGGAGCCAGGAATCTAGACTCAGGCTGGGATGGTCACTTGGTTCTGCTTCAACTCCAGCCCCAAGGGATGTGGCTGGTCCAGCTCCTCAGGACACAGCTGGAGCAGTCCAGGTCTGATTGGGAGGCCTCTTGGCCGGAGGGTTGGGGCAGGAAGAGGAGGGGCTGAAGGATGGAGGAAATGCCTGTTTTCCCAGGTAACCAGAGGAGCTGATGCAGCCACCCATGGGGGACCCTGGTTCCAGGTCAAAGGGTAGGAGGCCTTTCCTCCTTCCCCTAGCAGTTCCTTGGCTGGGCTTCTCCTATTGCCCATTATCTAGTATCAGCTGGAGAGGCCAGTGGCCACTCCCCTAACCCGAGGGCACATCCTCTCACCCAAGCCGAGAGAGAGGATTTTCTAATAGGCACTGCTCCTCTCACTGGTCCCTGTAAATTTGGAAGAGCAGGAGGTAAGCTCCTTATTTTTTTGAGATGAGGTATTGCTACATTTCCCAAGTTGGTCTCTTAACTCCTGGGGTTGTACTACATACATGCACCACTGTCCCCAGGTTTTAAAGGTTTATTAGAGACCAGGACAGGCTGTGATGGCCAGGGCAGATTTTTTTTTTTTTTTTTTTGTACCAAGGATCGGACTTGGGACCTTGCGCTTTCCAGGCAGGCAGCGGAACCGGCAAGTGGATTTAGTTGAGCTAAATCCTGGCCCAACTAGAGGGGATTGTTGAGAGGCAAGAGGGCACCGTGAGGAGACATCCCTCTTCTCTGGGGACTTGGGACCTTGCGCTTTCCAGGCAGGCAGCGGAACCGGCAGGTGGATTTAGTTGAGCTAAATCCTGGCCCAACTAGAGGGGATTGTTGAGAGGCAAGAGGGCACCGTGAGGAGACATCCCTCTTCTCTGGGGCCTCAAATACTGGGGGGAGGGGAGTGTCCTGGGTTCCTTGGGTGTGTAAAACCTCTAGCCATTTGGTTTTTTTGGTACCAGGGATCGAACTCTGGACCTTGTGCTTGTGAGGCAGGCGGTGGAACCACTGAGCCAAATCCCGGGCCCAGCCATTTCCTTCTTTTTGACTGTACCCCCAAGTGCCCACACCCCCAGTGTTCCTGTTTTTTCCTATTGTTGCTAAATCACAGCTGACACTTTCCTGGCCTGGAATTGAGCACTCTGGTCTCTGGCCATTCCTTATAGGAAGTGAGAATGGGGAAGTGGATGGGGGAAACAGACCTTTCCAGAGGGAGAGGCTGCCATGGGAGGGGCTGGTATCCAGTGGCACTGACACTGAGGATCTACAGGCAGGGATAGTCCCCCGGGGAACACTCTTCCCTTCCCTCCCTGCGTTGTCCCCGCCCCCCTCCCGCCCCCAGGAAAGGCCAGGAAAGCTTCCTTCCTTCCTCTGGGAAACACATCTATCCATGGCAGGCTCATCCCGGTGGCCACACAATGGCTCTTATCAGCCATGGAGCCAGGCACAGAAACCCAGTGCACACCAAGTCTTACATATTTCCTGTTTCCACCCAGCAGGTCGGGGTGGGCCCAGGGCAGCCATATCCTGACTGGGGCCAAGAGGAGGGAGAGCAATCCTCTTCCCTTTTCCGCCTCTCGATCAATGCTGGACTCACGGCTCCCAGTCAAGGAGGGGCCCTGCAACAGGAGGTTGGGACAGGAGTGTACAAAGTACTAAGCACATAAAAGGGAGATGTAAGTGTGCAGAGGAGAAATGGGGACCCCTGGGATCAGGAGGCCCTGGATCCAGGCACAGGGATATGTGAATGAGAATACAGACATGAGTATAGTGCTGGATGTTTGTGTTTATGTATGTTTTAATTGCTTTCTTGCAATGATCTTGCAAATAGGTACATTTGAAATCATTTGTATTTTACAGACAACTGCGGCTCCTATCTGGTAAGATAGGGTAGGATTGAACATGGATTCAAACCCAGGTCTCTAGACCCCATTCCTGTATTTCTTGCCCCCCCATCCTATCATCAAGGAGTCGCACACAAGTGTAAAAGCCAAATTTCCAATTATCCCCCAATGTAACAGACACAGAACACAGGTAGTCATGGCTTGCTAGAGGCCGAGGGGACAATTCTTCATACACATGGCTCCCAGGGTAGAATATAGAATACAGAGCAACTGGAGTGACTGATTCTCAGTCGCAGGTGGTGATTGGATGTGACAGTGACAGAGCAGGTTCTCTGAGGTGTCTTCTTCTGGGAGAAGGGCTGTAGAGTCACTACTGGCAGAAGGTAATTGGCAGGAACAGGGAGAAGATATGTCCACAGGGCACCTGGAGAATGATCTCTGAGGTTCTCAGGGCCAGGTCTCCCAAAATGTCTTCATCCTGGCTCTCCCTTCTGCCTACCTGCTCCTACTTCTAGGCCTCCAAGGGGTTGAGAGAGAGGAGCAGATTCTTGCTAAAGGCTAATGATGGCGGGTCGGGGAGAGCCAGATGAGCTTGAACTGGCAAGGATCATCTGGGAAGTCTATGGCTGCAGTTCCCCTAACACCTGTCAAACCTTCACAAGAGGGCAAGTTGGGGTCATGGGAATTGACTTACCCGTAGAAACTAACTCAGCACCCTGGAATTCTGTCTGCACAGGCTCTGGAACTTCCTGGGTTAAACTCCATGCAGGGTGAAGGGAAAAGGCTGTGCTGGCACAGACTCTCACTGACCTACTCACACTCACTCTATGTAACAGCGTAGGTGAGGGGATCTTCCATCCTGTCCACTTAATTATACTGCTTCTACTGAAACCAGGGATCCTAGACCCTCTGCTCAAACCCCATTGGGACAAACTATAAAATGCCAAGCCTTCTGGAACCCAATGCTGCTTGTGCCAACCAGTCTATGGAGCCTGTAGAAATGTGAGGATCTAGCCCTTCCAGGCAGCCTGAGGCCCAGCATGGAGTGACAAGAATGCAGGCCTGTGCCAGATGGGGCATGTGCCTGGCAGGAGTGCTTGGGCAGGACTGGAGTATTTGAGTGTGTGTTTTTGTGTGTTCAAGAAATGAGATGCATGTTGGAGGGTCCTTCCAAAGTCTTCAATGCTGATAAACGAGCTGGTTTCACTTATATCTCAGCAACAAACACCTGTATTTTAAGTGCCAATTCCAGTAGTCTGGCCTGGCAAGATTAAGGAGTCTGGCTAGAGCTTACCCTGGGAGGTGGGGAGGTGGCGGGTACTTGGCTGCCTCCTCAGGGGCTGGGCCCCCAGCAATCCTGGCAGTGGTAAGGGAGGGCTGGCTGCCAGCTGTAGCCTCCGCCCTGGATTCACTCGTCCCATCCAGGCTCAGATCCATGCTTGGGCTTCACCCAGGAGATCCCCTGCCAAAAAGAAGCAAAGTGGTATCTACAGGGATAAAACAGGTGGCAGAAGTGGGAACAAAGATCTTCCCCCATACCTTCCCCATTCCCAAAAGATGGGGTTCCACAGTCATGGGTTGGCTTCTGAGCCTGTGGCCTCGGAACCATAATACCCCCTACCCCCAGCATCTCTTACCTTGAAGGGTTTGCTGATCCCCACCACAGAGTGCAGATTGTTGCTATAATAACAGAGGAGGTACTGATCTTCATTCTCAGGGATATCACAGATGTTCATGTACACCTGGAGGGGAGGATGAACAAGGAGTCAGCTCCAGGGTCCTGGCCACCACTTAGCTCTCAATGACAAGTTATCTAGCACTCTGTTCCTTCCAGAAGAAAGTAGCATACAGACGAGCCTGCCTGCTGGAGATGTACCTGCTTCAGGTTGTCACCGAAGGAGACCTGGTTGTCCCCAACCCAGACATAGGACACATAGTCATTAATGTGGCGCATTCCCACCTGTGGAAGGAGGGGGAATTGGGCAGTTAGTGCTTGGAGAGGACTTGGGACCTTATGGAAAATCCTAAGGAGAGGATGGTCTCACTGCTGGGACAGGCCATCACAATGTCTCCCTTCCCTTCCCTACCAGCCCCTAGGAAGGCGAGGACCCCTGAGGAGGATGAGGGTGAAGCTCTTTAGTGACTACCCGGATTCCATAAATCCTCACGAAGGATAAACCAGGAGGCTGTGGGTGGTGGATGCCAGCCTTGCCCACCACATCACCTTGTACAGTCCAATCCAGTCCCAGGGGCTGCTGAGGAAGTCTGGAGTTGAGGAGTAGCTGATCAACATTTCATTTTCCATGGTCCACAGGCCCTCAGCCATCATGGTGATCAGTGGGACAGACAGCAATGGCTTCAGCTACACACAGGAGTGGGAAGTGGGTTGAAATCCTGTAACACCATTCCCTCCTCTAAAGTAACTCTTCAATGTATTCTTCCAATACAGTGAGATGAGAGGGGGCAGCTAGAGGGGTGGGCATAGAACTCCACTAAGCTACCCTAGATGACCTTAGCTGGCCAGGCAGAAAAAAGGCCAAAAACCTGTCAGGGGAGTAGCTGGCCCTGCCAGGGAGAATGGGGCTGAGAGCCAGGTGGGTGACACAGGGAGCCAAGTGCTGAAGATGGAAGGAGAAGGGAGGTGCTGAGAGGCTGAAGAATCCAGCCAGCTGTTCTCAGGCCTCTAGCATTTCTGACTCAAAGGGCCCAATCCAGGCAATACTGGTAAGAATGGATATAAACATGTGGAAGGACTAAATGGTGTAAGGATCCAGAAATTGGTATGAAAATCCAAAGGCTGAGGGACGGCCAGTGGCTTAAAGGAGGTCAGCACTCTCTTGATCAATATATAAATAGATGGCAATATATGAGGAGGAGGGAACTCCTCCTGCAACCTGATCCGGATAGGTTTAGGATGAATAAAAGGAAGTTCTATTTCACACAGTAGGTAATAAGCTTAATGAAACTCATTAGCCCCAAGGGAGAGTATCAAGAGGAAATAGAAACCTATTCACAAGGGCTTTAACACGTTTTTCACAGAGAGAACCATCAACAGCTCCTAAGAGGGGCTGAGATACCTGACCATGGAGGAAAGGCAATCATGTTCTCCTACAGTTCTCCCTTGGGGATTGGCTGGCATCAGAATCCAGGCCCAGGGGGGTTGGGGGTGTAACCCTGCATAGCTGTTCCTCTGTCAAGTGTCAAGCAGCCCAGAAGTTCACCTCCAAGTCAAAGGTACCAGTGACAGGCTTATGATCACTGATGCTGTACATCATGTGGCTCTTGTAGCTCTTCAGGGACAAGGTAAAGGAGGGGGCTGGCAGACTGGGGGTGAAAGAGCGGGCCTGGAGCTGCCGCTTCAACCTCCACAGGATGCGGTCGGTCCATGCAGGCTTACGTTTCTTCTCACTGTGTGTGGGGAAGAGGAACAGGGACAGAAGAAAGGGTTGGCCTGAGAGCAGGAATGAATAACCCCATGAGCCTTTGGGGCCCCTAACTTCAATCTACCAGTAGCCAAAAGACCCCTATGCCAGAGCTACAGGGTGGCAGCAAGCAAGAGGGTGCCAGACAGAATCTAGAGTGCTAGCCTCTGTCAGATGTAGTCAAGGACCCTCTGCCTAGCATGTTTAGATAAATCAAATTGTGACTCATACATTCTATTTCAAGGATTTTTTTTCTTTCTTTCACCAAAGCACCATAAGATCAAAGAAGGTGAGAGTTTGAATTTGGCTTCCTTGCCTACTAAAGGTGTGACTGTAGGAAAAATAAGGAAAGCATCTGGAGAATGCTTACTGTGTGCCTATCATTAGTACCATTATCATTCACCCTTTACAGTATGGTAGAGAAACTAAGTGGTGGAGCCAGGACTCAAGGCCAGGGGGCATGTGCTCTTGACTACCAAGCTAACTTCTCTTACAACTTACTTCCTCACCTGTGGTGGAGCCAGGACTCAAGGCCAGGGGGCATGTGCTCTTGACTACCAAGCTAACTTCTCTTACAACTTACTTCCTCACCTGCAAAATGGAAATAATAACTTTTACCTCAGTTGGGTATGGTGGCAAATGCCTGTAATCCCAGGACTCTGGAAGGATGAGGCAGGAGGATCTAAAGTTCCAGCTCAGCGTGGGCAACTTAGCGAGACCCTGTCTCAAAATTTTAAAAGGAGCTGAGGATGTAGCTTAATGTGAAGGATCTAGGTTCAATCCCCAGTACTAACAAAAATAAATTTCTTCCGTTGCTGATTCGGATGAGTTAAAGCATCTGAAATGTTTAGCATTGCGCTTGGTGCAAAACAAGATCAACAGACCTTAGCCACTATGACTCTTTATTGTCAAAAGTGACCTGAGAGACCTCCCACCTTGCTCTTCACTTACAGCTTCCCTGAGAAGATGAGGGGCCATAGGGCCCCCTAGAGACAAATGCTTTCCTCTTCTAAGTAACTGAAGTCACTCAAAAGACAGACAAGTCTCTGCCCCTAACCCAGCCCTGCCTAAGGAGCTATTAGGGTATTTGCTAAGGCCATCTAGGTCTCAAGGCTCTGCCCTTCCAAATGGAGGTAAGTCATAGGCCAAGTCCTGGAATCACTGTGGGCTGGAAAGTGAGGTTAGTTGGTGTTTCTGGGTTCTTCCCCTTTGGTGAACAATCTCTTTTCTTTTCTTTCCTTTCCTTTTTTTTGTGAGACATGTAGTACAGGCTGGTCTTGAACGCAAGATGTGGCCCAAGCTGGGGTCACTTGCAGGAATCCTCCTGCCTCAGCTTCCTGAGTGCTGGGCTTACAGGTGTGTGCCACCACACACATACCCAGTTTCTTTTTCCCTTTCTTACTACTGGGGATTGAAACCAGGGTCTTCACACTACCTTACATTACCAGTTGTTTTTTGTTTTGTTTTGAGGACAAGGTCTCACTAAGTTGCTGTTGCCAAGGCTGGGCTCAAACTTGACAACCTCCTGCTTCAGGCTTCTGCTTGGATTTCTGGTGTGGCACCAAGCCTGCCTGAAGATCCCTTTTCCCAGAGTAGTAAAGCAGATCAGATGATTTCCTACTTTAAAATTTTAAGGATTACACACCCTGGGTTCTACCCTCAGCACAAAAACCAACAAAAACCCCCAAAAACCATCAAATTAAAAAAACCTTTCAGGGTCTTCACTATTTCCACCATAAGGAACAAGTCCCCAAGAAGGGCTTTCAAGGGGCTCAGGAATCAGACCTCCCCTGTCCTACTTCACTTCCCACCATCTCCTGCAAATCATACTACCCTGGCCACCCTTCTCAAAACTCTGGACCTTTGCATTTGTAGCTTTTTTTTGTTTTTGTTTTTAAAGAGTAGGCAGGCCGGGGATTTAGCTCAGTAGTTCCGCTGCCTGCCTCGCAAGCGCAAGGTCCCGAATTCGATCCCCAGTACCAAAGAAAAAGAGTAGGGAAAATTTGAGATAGCTTCTGTCTAAGAGAGACAGAAGGGGGAACCTGAAAATGAATCACCCCTGGATTTGTAGTTTTTGCTGCCTGGAACACCCTTATTTACCTGAAGTTCAATTCCAACACTGCCTCTGTCATACAGCTACTTCTGACCTCATCTTCCTGCTTCCAAAGCATTTGATACTGGTATTTATATGAGTACATTATACTGTAATTTTCTGTCTCCAAGTCAGTGCATCAGTTAGTGTCGAAGCTTTATTTTCCTTTTAAGGATATATTTATTTTATCAAAGGATGGAGAGTAATGACAACAAAAGATCTCTAAATAGTCAACATGAATATATTTATACTACTTAAAGTTAGTATGTATTTAAATATTTTAATGACATATATAATTTTTCCATATTAAGGGGTTTCAGTGTGATAGTCCAACATCTTGCAGACAGGGTATTAATCACATCAGGGTAATTAGCATTTCCTCTTCCTTATTTTATTTTTTGGTACTGGGGATGGAACTCCGGTCCTTGTGCTTGGGCAGCAGGCGGCAAAACCACTGAGCTAAATCCCCGGACCCTTATTCCTTTTTTTTTTGGTACCGGGGATCGAACTCGGGTCCTTGCACTTGCGCAGCAGGTGGCAAAACTGCTGAGCTAAATCCCCAGCCCCCTTATTCCTTTTTTTAAAAAAATAAATTTTATTTTAATTTTATCCTATTCCCCCCTCAAGCCTCCTTTCTTATCATTTCTTTATGTTTAGATATTTTGATCTCTTCCCTTCCACATCTTCTTCTTTTTTTAAACAGGATCTCACTGTGTAGTTCAGGCTGGCCTTGAACACACTATGTAGCCCAGGCTGGCCTCAAACTCACAGCGATCCTCCTGCCTCAGCCTCCCAAGTGCTGGGATTATAGGCATGCACCACCATGGCCAACCATTCCAGGTTTTATGAAACATATGATAGGTAATTGTAAACAACAGCTATTCAAGTCTTTCTGAATTCTAGAACACATTTCTTCTTGCTAGCTGCTTTGTTGTTTTTGGTACCGGGGATGGGACCCAGGACCTTGCACTTGCCAGGCCGGCGTGGCACCACTGAGCTAAATCTCCAGTCCTCTGGCTGTGTTTTTGTACTTGTTATGTAAACTCCCTGTATTGATCCTTACCTCCTATAATTTCTAGCCTAGAGTTATGAAGCATCTTAACTTTTTTTTTTTTTTTTTGGCACCGGGGATCGAACTCAGGTCCTTGCGCTTGCGAGGCAGGCGGTGCAACCATTGAGCTAAATCCCCACCCCTCATCTTAACTTTTAAGACAAGGACTAGCTTTTGGAGCCTACTAGGTATCCTTAGCCTTAGTACAGACACCAGCACATGGGCACTCATCAACTGCCCACCTGCAAAACCATAAGTTCTGCTGGGCACAGTGGCACATGCCTGTAGTCACAGCTACTCTGGAAACTCAGGCAAGAGGATCCCTTGAGCCCAGGAGTTCAAGACCAGCCTAAGCAACATAATGAAGTCTCATCTAAAAAAACAAAACTACCAACCTGGGCTACATATTCAGTTCAAGGCTAGCCTGGACTACAGAGCATACCCTATCTCAAAAATAAAATAAAATACCTACAAGTTCAATCTTTCTCCTGAAAAAAATGCCCTTCTGGTCAGGCATGGTGGTACAGGCTTGTAATCTCAGCACTCTGGGAGGGTGAAGCAGGAGGATCATAAATTCAGCCCAGTTTGGGTAACTGAGTGAGACCCTGTTTCAATATAAGAAATAAAGGGCTGGGGGCATAGCTCAGCATGAAGACCCTGGGTTCAATCTTCAGTGGCCTTTTCCCCCCAAAAATACCCTCCAATCTTTATGTATACAGTCCCATGTATCTGTAATCACTCTGAAACATTGTTTTTGTCTCTTGCTTTATTCAATTACTTTTTTTTTTTTCAGGACCTTGCGCTTTCGAGGCAGGTGACAATTACTATTTTTTGTTTTTTGTTTGTTTGGTTTTTGTACCAGGAATCGAACTCAGGACCTTGCACTTGCAAGGCAGGCAGAGGAACCACTGAGCTAAATCCCCGCAGACAATTACTATTTTTTTTTTTTGGTACCGGGGATCGAATTTGGGTCCTTGCATTTGCAAGACAGGTGACAGAACCACTGAGCTAAATTCCCGGCCCCACAATTACTATTTTTTGTTGTTTTTTTTGGTACCGAGGATCAAACTCAGGACCTTGTCCTTGCCAGGTGGGTGTGGCTCCACTGAGCTAAATCCCCAGCTCCACAATTACTATTTTAAATAAACATTTCCAGTGGACTGTTGTCATTTAAGCAGCAGTACTATCTTCCAGTGACTAAATATGGTGTCTGGGTGAACTCATTCTAGATTCAGACACTGGCTAGGGGAGAGTTCTGTCCTAGTAATTCAGAGCTATGTGCCCCTAGGCAAGTGACTGCAGTGCTCTAGCTACACATTCTTCAACTGTAAGATGAGGTGATAACTGCACTTACTTCAAAGACCAATTGTGAGCAAGAAAGAAGTTAAGGCTCATCAAGGGAGTGGTCAAGAAACTGTAAGGCTGGCTCCACCACAATCTGCCTCAGAGCTTCCTGGGTTTTCCCCCCTAACTTTCATTCTTCTGAGGAGTACTCAGGGACACCAGAGTGTGACATTCCCATCCCAGAGACTACTAGAGGTCCCTGATTCATCTTGGACATTAGGTGCCTAGCGATGCTCAAAAGCTGGTAACAAACATGAAGGCACTGTCTTTCTTTTAAAAAATCAACCTCTCCTTAATTTCTCTGTGCTGGTTCAGAGCCCAGACCTGCTGTCACATCAGGAACCTCCCTGAGTTCTGACCACAGCCTGTCCTTCTTTCTTCCTTGGGACCTTTCACCCTCTTTCCTTTTCTGTGGCCTGGCCCAGGCTCAACACTGGGCACCTGTATCGTTCATTCTTTTCACCAAGACTTACTGGTTGCCAGGCAACTGAGGAGATGA